TAATCTGTTTTCGTCGTATTTTAGCTCTGTATATGAGCCAGCTCAACGATCGGGGTATTTTTGTGATATCACACCTCATAATTGCTGTTTGAGTGAATTTACCATTAAAGTGATCGATGTTTGTGAAAAACTAAAGTGTGTGGATTCACAGAGTAGTGCTGGCCCTAATGGTATTCATCCTTTAATCATAAAGCAGTGTAGTGAGGAGTTAAGTTAACCCTTGTCTCTTTTGTACAACAGGTCTCTGCGTGGTGGTATATTTGCTTCATTATGGAAGGATGCATATGTTATACCAATACTTAAATCTGGTGATAAAAGTCAATGTAGTAATTATAGACCGATAAGTATTTTATCCTGTTTTAGTAAGGTTTTCGAATCGTTGGTTTATAAAGTTATATACACTCACTTTAGTAAAGTCATATCACCATCACAACATGGTTTTGTCAAGGGCAGGTCCACAACTTCGAACTTATTGGAATACCAAACCTTTATCACTGCGGCTTTGGCAAGGCGCCAGCAAGTTGACTCTATTTATACAGACTTTGCTAAGGCATTTGATAAGGTTGACCACTGCATTCTTCTCCAAAAACTATCTGCCTACGGGATTCATGGCGACCTTCTTCGATGGTTCGAGTCGTATCTAAGTAAACGTAGCCAACTTGTAGCAATAAGCGGTTATCTGTCGCGTCCTTGTATTGTCGCTTCGGGAGTGCCGCAGGGTTCACATCTTGGTCCTCTTTTATTTGTCATATTTATGAATGACCTTGTTGATAAGGTATCCAACCACTGTTTGCTTTATGCTGACGATTTAAAACTTTTTAAAGTGATAACATCTATAGATGATACTAAATCACTACAGCGTGACCTCGACGTTGTTGGAGCTTGGTGTCGTGGTAATCGTATGTTTATTAATATTGATAAGTGCTTTGTTATTTTGTTCGGTCGTGTGCGTAGCAAAGTTAAATTTACTTATAATATCATGGGTTCTATTCTGAAAAGTGAAACTAGTGTTAGAGATCTGGGCGTTATCTTTGATGATTGACTTACATTTCGTGCACATTATGATATTGTTTGTAATAAGGCAACCCAACTGCTCGGATTCGTCACACGACTTACGAAAGATTTTAAAAGACCGCAGAGTCTAGTTTACCTTTATATTATGCTCGTTAGAAGTACTCTTGAATATGGATCTATAGTTTGGAATCCTTTTTACAAGGTTCATTACCAACGTATTGAGGGAGTCCAAAAAAAAATTATCAATTTGGTCTGTTTCCGTATGGGTTTGAAACAGAGTCTTGTTTCATACATGGACCGACTTGACAGGTTTAATCTCCCTAGTCTTGAATCTCGACGCAAATATATTGAAGTTTTTTATTTACATAAGTTGATACATGGTGAAATAGATTCCTCAGCTCTTCTTGCACTTCTGTATTTCAAAACGAGGTTCAGGGCTCGTGATGCCAGTCAGGCAATTATTGCTTTACATGTTTGCACTAATAATATTTCATACTATAACCCAATGGTCCGCATGTGTCGCCTATATAATGAAATTGTTGCACTTGACGGGGACGTCGACATATTTCACCTATCTTTTGGTCGGTTCCGGAATTCTTTAAGACGGGTGTTATTTGATCAATGATTTTTCTTTTTTTGAGTTGGTGCAGTAATTTACTGTATTTGAGTTATGCATAATCAGTAACTTTAAAATAAATTCAACATCTCCTTTTAACTTTAATGATGAGCTAATTTCAATGTAATTAAAGTTTTTTGTTTAATTACTCATAATCCTATCTAATTTTAATTCAATTTACTCTAAATTTAATTTAATGAATTCTGATTTTGGTATAATTTTTATCTAATATTAATTTAACGTTAGCTTCTTAACTTTAAGTCACTTAATATATGTTATTTGAATGTTTTATATGAATGGAGAGTTTCAGTTTAATGCATGTAGTGTACACAAGTTCGTAGATTGCAATTCAGGCGATAATATTAGTTTGATTGTTATTGTGATTAGTTTATCAATTGTAATCTGTTTTGTGTACCATAAATAAATAAATAAATAAATAGAAGCGTCACTAAAGCCCGGTTTCTGTGAGAATTTGAAGTTGAGCACGTCTCAAACCGTGCTTAAGCCTTTTAAACCGCCACTTAAACATATGTTTGTTTCCGATTTTAATTTTATTTAATGATAAGTTGATATCAGTGTGATAAGATTAGGAATTTTTGCCATGAAAAACATAAAAACTAAAGATATTGAGAATAATCAGTTGCGATTTTGGTAATTTCCTCAATTCATAAATCGGTCGTAAATCTCATACGTGTAAGAATATGATTTTGTATCTGAGCATAATTGTACTTATGTCAATTATTAATAATAACATAATTTTGTCAATTCACTGACTTCCCACATTTGTTTCCATTTCTTTAATTTAAATTTTATCGATGTATAAAATTTAAATTAGACATATTTTCTTTTATGACAAATAAAATATGCTTTTCATAGATATCACGTCAATATTTCGATGACATGTTTGTATATGGGGAAAAAACATAATCCAAAATGGAGTTTTTCTGGGTTCAACGGGCAATTTATTTTTTATGTAAGTGGGTATATAGAATAGAATAATTTTTTTAGACACCTATATAAATTACAAAGAAAGAAAAAAAATGATGATATAATAACAAAATAAAACACACAATACAAATAGAAAAAAAACATACAAGATTTATAAGCTAGGTGCCAAATGGGCCATCAGCTCAGAATAAAGTTAGGCACAAGAGTACCTAACACTGATTTTCAGCAGAAGCCCTAAGGTGACACGAAGGTACGCACGAATATCAAAATATTTGGTAATATTTATTTTATTAAATCACAATTCATTTTAAAATATATAATTAAGTTTAAAAAATTAATGTTAAAATATATAATTGAAATTATATTATGTAATTAATAATATAGTAAGTCCGTATCCACTAGAACAGGGTTCTCCAAACTTTGAAACCTTCGGACCATAATGATTTTTTTAGTTTGTTCCAAGGGCCAAACCAGTTTTAATTTTTCTGCCCTTAACAATATTTCTAGTCTAGAATAGTCGCAAAGTGCGCGACCTAAGCAAACTTACGCTTTTCACATTTCGATTCTTATTGTGTATTGTGCTTTGAAGATAAATTTTGATACTCGTTTCTCAGATTTTGATGTCATTGCGAATAAAATTAAGCTTTTTCAAAATCCTTTTGATTCTGACATTGAAACCCTGGGTCCGGAAGTCCAAATGGAAATTATTGATTTACAGTACAGTGATATGATTAAGAACAACAATTTAAATTCATCTTTGCTGGAATTTTATAATTTTATAAGAGTCTACCATTGGAACAATTTGATAATTTGCATAAGTTTGCTCGTGGGTTGTTTTCTGTTTTTGGTACTATTAACTTGTGTGAGAAAACGTTTTCCAAGATGAAGTACACAAAGAATATTTACAGATCTCAATTAACCGATGAGAATCTTAAATCTCTTTTGATAATTGGTACAAGTAAAATTGATCCACAATTACAAACTATTGTCAGTGGAAAATCACAATTACATAAATCTCATAAGTGTTTTTGTTTTTCTGTGATTAATGGGATTCATTTCAATTATTTGTTAGTTATTAATATGCTTAAACTTAGATACTTAAGTTTTTTGCGACATCATTTCTGTCGTTAAGTTTTACCTTGTAAGTAAATAAAGCTGAGTAATTTTCATTCTGTGTTTTTTTCTTCAACTTATCACAGCAATAGTAACAACAATAAATCATTGGCTGTCGCGGGCCGGATTAATGACACTGGCGGGCCGGATTTGGCCCGCGGGCCGTAGTTTTGAGACCCCTGCACTAGAACAACAACAACCCACAAAAAGAATGTAATTTCTTAGGCCATAATTGAAGCAACTGTCCCAAAAAATGAAATAATAGGGGTTAAAGTATGAAATTACCGATTCGTACTTAAAATAAAATATGTTTACTTTTGAATTTTTAACAAATTTATTTAAATCAAAATAGTTACCATTATATTCTATACATTGCTGCCATCTACGAGTAATAGGAAGGTGATTTATGCCTTTGCTATAGAACATTGAGGATCCACACTACACAAACTGTGTGAAAGCATTTTGTACTACCTCCTTCTTCCGAAAACTTCTTGTCACGTAGATAATTATCCAAATCACGAAAAAATGGTAGTCCGTTGGAGCAGGGCAGAACAGCATCACCATTTCGCCATAAACCATCACCACGAATCTCTTTTACAGTATTTCGGTAAACATAAATGATCACAAACCGCAATAGCGGCCGAATCAACGTTTGTTTGCGATAATCCGAATGTATCACAAGCTTTTCAGCTGCAGTTGACGCCCGTTCTCATGAGGCTTCCCAATCATTGGTCATAGCCCAAAGTTGATCTGCACAAGCAATTTCTACATCTTCTAATGGATATGTATCAACATAGCCTTCACAAGACAAATAAATTCCAGAGTCGCACAAAACGAGTCCAACGTTTAGATGGTGTTTTGAGAGAATTCCAGTAGACAGAAAATACTGCCCTGTTTATCAAAAAATAATTGTTCACAAGGAAGTTCACATAGTAATTTATATCCTGGTATCCACTCTAAGCGAACATGAACCTTTTCTAAAAGGATATTACTAACTGTTTTCAGACATTTAAACTGTAAGATAAAATGTCGCTTAAATATATGCTTTATATAACGCAAACGATTTTCAGTTTCAGGTTCAGACTGCATTCCATTGGTCAGCATATTTTTCTTCACGTTTTCGGTCCTTTAATTTTAACTACAGAATTTTTTGCGATATTTGTATCTTCAATAGAGGTAACATCAGCAATGTTGAATGGTTATTCGGTTACAGAAACCAAATAATCATTAAGCGATTTTTCAAGTAGCACTGGATTTGGAACAGAAACATTGAATTGGTAATTATCTGTGGATCTAATTAACTGTGAATCTAAGATAGCACTATAGTAAATAGCTCTATCCGTACTTCATCATCATCATCCAATTGACTCCGAGTTAATAACACACGTATATTTGGAAGAAGTTCTGGTCGAGTTGCTCCAAAACGAGCTACTGTTGTTACTGCAGCAGCACGAACAGCGCCGGATTCCAGTATTACTTGGTTATAAATATACCTAATATACCTAGATGGTTGGCGAGCTTTGGGTCCTTCTCGACCAAGAACATGAAGTATACGCACAACTAAACATGCACGTTTACAATCCTCAATGAACTCGCAAAGATGGGCTAAACATGTTTCTTTTGCGTCGGGGTTCTCTTCGACTAGAGCTATAATCGCATCAGCGATAGCTGTTTTATACTGAAGTCCGCTTTTTTTCTTATCATTCCAGATAAAAAAAAATAGATGTTTACGTGGATACTTTGAAAACATGCGCCTGATTGCTTGGATAACTACATTTTTAAATTCATCTGATATTTTCGATATAAATCCAGACACTTGCTTTATTAAACGATCTATAGATCTTTCAGCTCCTGTAATAAGTAAAGTAGTAACTGCCAATGTAGCAACAGAGCGATTCTGATCTGAAATCAAATTTTCCAAATCCACAGCACAATGTGCAACAGCGTTTGGGTTCTTGGCTGTCAATTTAACTAACATTCACTAGTGCATGGGCAGCTTCATAAGTGACAATCTCAGATTTATGTCGTAAACAAGATTAAATAAGGTTCAGACAACCCTGGGGTGCGGTGTCTGACAACCTCCTCGTGGTGCACCCCGGGCAACGTGGCCGCTCAAAGTATCTTTGAGCCGCCACGGCTGATGTCAGAACATGTGAGGGAGTCCGTCAGGCGTCCTGGACTTATTCTGGGTAGCGGCTGACGGGCTGGGAGGAGGAGGGTTCGACCCCTTCGGGTGGGTCGTCGTTGGCCCTTTTCAGGGCCGTCGTGTGGCGCATAGGGGGGCGGTAAGACCCATTTTCGGGTCGCGTTCCGGGGGTTTCCCTCATTGAGGGAGTCTTGTGAGGGCTCCGGGCCGGCGCCCTGCCGGTAAGGCGGGAAGCGGCGGCGCGGTTCGGGTTGAGCGGGCGTCTCGGGGGTAACCCGAGCAGCGGTCGTGTCAACGAGGGCGGTGGGCCTGCTGTTTCGTAGTGTTGCGAACGACAGGTGTCTTTTTCAAGACAACCACCGGCCGATCCGTACCTCTGTGTTCAACGGAGACGGGGGGGCTTCCCTTTGTTGGGCGACTCTGGGAGGAAGGCAACCTCGATAATAAATCCACCAATCCTGTATTAGCCGTGGGTCGGAGGATGAGTGGCAATAGGTAGTATTGTCGTTACACGGCCTCTGGAGATGGGGACCGGCCGACCCCCATCTTCACAACCCTAGGCTTACCCGGGCATGGAGCCACTGCCCGGGTGGACTTCGAGGAGCTACCACGCTCGTGGGATCAGATATGGAGAAACTAAATAAAATTCTAAAAACTTCGAATGAGAGGGGGCCTAGCTCGGGTGAGAATGAGCAGATGGATATAGTGGTGGAGGACAGTGATGCGGATGAGCTCGATATGGAGTTCTGTGCAGAGACATATGAGGACATTAAAATTATGAGGAAAAAGTGCGACAACATTGGCGATGAGATGGAGAAGTGTGCTGATGAGTATTTCCGGAAGAATAAACGCAGACTTCAGAGGCTGCTTGAGGAGGGTGCTAACAAGTCGGTCTGTGAAGAGAGGCTGCTGTGTGCGAGAGATATGCATAGCAAATTGCTAAGCATCTCGCGGTTCGTGGGATGCGAGGTGACGGCCCACTTCGATGTGGCTGAAGAGGTTATATCGGGACTTTTTAAATATAAGCTCACACTGGAGGGACAAATGGATGCGTTGAGAGGCGAAATAGAGGGTCTCAAGGCTGAAATTAGTGGATTTAAAGCTCCGAAAAATTCAAGGACGGTTAAGGTTCAGACTGTGAACTGTAGAATGGACGCGGAAGTACAGACTCAACCTATGGAAAGAAAGAATGCTGGAATCCAGTGTTCGGACCCCTTGGCTTCGAGTCTGATTGAGAAGGGAGAGAGAAGTTGCCAGACGGATCCGACGAGCGAGGGCGGTTCGGAGGAGGAGGGTTCCTCCATGTCGAACCAGAATTCGGAGATAGAGTCGGCGATGGAATTGGGGAGGATATCGACTGCAAGAGACTCAGCAGACTCTGAGAGTTCTCGAGAAATGACTACCCTGGGCTCGGGTAGTCGACAGAAAAAGGAGGGTGAGGAATAAGAGGAAAAAGGAGGAAGATAGGATTCCATCCTAGGAGAAAGAGAAGGGAGTTGGGGAGGTGAGGGGGGCTCCTGCACCTGTTATGCAAAAGCCGCCACCTTCACACAAAAAGAGTGGTAGAAGAAAAAAGGTTAAAGAGGTGACGACCACAGCGGTGATGCTGACCATACCTCCAGAGGCGGAGGCAAAGGGCATCACCTACAGGGATGTGTTGGTAAGAGCTAAGCGAGGAATTGCTCTCTCGGAGATAGGGATCCCGGAGATTAAATTTGGGACGGCTGCAACAGGGGCCAAACTACTGAAGGTCCCGGGAGCGGGAAGTGAGGCACAGGCTGATCAACTGGCGAGTAAGCTCAGCAGCTTACTTGGGGAGGATGTGGTAATCTCAAGACCTGTTAAGCGTGCTGACCTGCGCATAACAGGTCTTGACGAGTCGATTGGCGCTGAGGAGGTGAAGGCTGCAATTGCGAGTGAGGGTGGTTGTCCTGCAGGCCAGCTGGTGATGGGTCCGTTCATTGAGGGTGTAGACGGCCTTAACTTAGTTCTGGTTAGGTGCCCGGTGGGAGCTGCTAATAGGCTGACTAGAGAGGGCAGACTACGGATAGGGTGGTCGTCGGCCAAGGTGCAGATGGTGGAGCCCAAGCCCATGCGTTGCTTTAAATGCATGGGCGTTGGACATGTGCGGAGGGTGTGTCCCTCCAAAACCGATAGATCTGGTCTCTGTTTCAGGTGCGGTAAGGAGGGACACAAGGTGGCGGAGTGCCGCGGAAGGATGCGTTGCGCAGTCTGCACAGCGGCGTCACTTCCCGCTGAGCACATAATGGGGAGCAGGAGGTGCTCTCCACCACCCAAGAGGGTGAGGCCGTGGCTGGTTCCCGTGCCTCATACTGCTCGTGCGGAACCGGTTGGTGACCTCTCCAATGTAATGGACACGCATTAGCGGGTCTATTCATTGGGGGGGGTGCAACCGGAGCGGCTAACTGTCGACTGGTTCCCTGGCAGGGTTACGTCTGCCGGGTGCGCCTGTGTCGCAGTTAGTGAGAGGAGTAGAGGAGTCGACCTGCGTTTCGTAGGTAAGGGGATTTCCTCATGTGGCCCCAGTCTTGGCTGTCGGGCTTGGCCACCATTCACACCGTTGTGTGTGAGTGGCGTCCGGGTCAGACAAGCGTCGAGTCTGGGGCCGCGCAGAGAGGAGCAGCGGAGCTGGTAGATGAGGCCTGATAGCGCCCTTCTTAGGGCTGCGGTCGGGCCGTACTCCAGCGGAGCTGCAGTCACACGGGGGGGGGATCCACGATAAGGGCTCTGCCTGTGTGGGTCCTTCCAATAGATGGGAAAGAGACTAGAGATTGCACAGTCGCGCATCTCTAGTCCCTAGTCGGGGGCAGCTGGCTGGTTCGCGCACTAGCCGGCATTGCACGTCTCCGCCCTGTCTGGGGGGGTACGTCTCGAGTGTCTCTGAGATGTGCCGCCCAACCCGCGAGGGACCTGCCCTTTTCAGGGCGGGCCGAAATGGGGGCGAACCGCGCGGCGCATGGCCTCCGGGCCGATCCCGTGCATCGCCTTCCATGCGAGGGACATCGCTGAGTTTTAGTGGGTAAACTCCTGTATTTTGTCTAGCCCCCATTCTGGGGGCGGGACCACAGGAGGAGTCCCACAGACCCCGTGAACCCCAGCGCATGGGGGGAGCGGACATGCGGAATGCATTTCTCAGCGTCAAAAAAAAAAGAAAAAAAAAAAAAAAAAGGTTCAGACAACCCTCATCAGTATCACTTTATAACGCATAACGAATAAGAAGGCAAAGAGCGTAAGGAAACCGAAGAGATGCTCGAGATACTGTTATAACAAGTTTCACCAGAGATAACCGATCATTACAACAAACTCTTACCACCCGCCCAACCCGCACGCACAACCGCCGAGGTTTCCAGTTGGTTAGATTGTTAGCGAGAGTCTACCTTAGATGTGCGTCGACTAAAATATTCGATAACATGTGGCAGTCCATTTTTTTCTCTATATGAGAATTGCACCATAACCCCTTCGAACTGGCATCTGTATGCAATTCTACACACGATTTAAGATCGGAGATGGTAAGAACTGGTTCCAAAGTAAGAATACCTATGATAGTATTTCTAATTTGTTCATGCTTTTCAGTCCACTTGATTGGTCCCTTTAGTTTTCTGATTGATTAAAGAGGTCAAACAATATCAGTAAAATTTGGAATAAACTTTCTAAAATAGGAAGCAAGACCGAGAAATTGTCAAACGTGGGTGGCAGTTTTGGGAGGGCGAGCATCAACTTGCTTTGCTTGAATTTTTCGAAAGTTGGTCTAACTTCACCCGACTGAAAGGAGTACCCCAAGTTATCTACTTTGTTTTTCATAAATTTACAATTCTTCAAATTTAAAGAAAATCCAGCTTTGGTTAAAGCATCTAAAACCACGTCCAAGCGCTGTAACTCCTGGGAAATACTATAAGAATAGCTTTGAATGTCATCCATATAGACTAAGGGCTTATCTTTAAATGACTTAACGTCTAAGTTATACATCTTTGATATACGGAAGGTGCATTACGTAAGCCGAAGGGCATAGCAAGACATTCATATTGCCCCTCAGGAGTCCCAAAAGCGGTTTTCTCTACAGAAACAGCATGAAAAGGGATTTGGTGAAAGCCTAACGCTATATTTAGGGATGAGAATTAGATGGAACCACTAAGCTGGTCTATTTGTTCCTCAATGCGAGGCTAAGGTAATGTTAAGTTCTGGTATTGGAGTTTAATTCTCGATAATCTACGCACATCCTATCAGTATTGTCTTTCTTCTTTACAAGAATAATCGGGCTTGCAAAAGGTGAAGAACTTTCTCTTATAACCCCTGTAACTAAAAGTTTCTGAATTTTTTCTCGAACTATTTGTTTTTCTATCAGTGCAAATCAGTAAGGGCATCGCTGTACAATTTTATTTGGATCGATCAAATTAATTTGTAATCACCCAGTTTTAACACGCCTATTCGGTATACCTTCAATAAAATAATTAGAATATTTATTAAGAATTTTAATTAACCCCTCAGTCAGGTCAGGTCTGGTCTAAGTCAGGTCTGTCTTAACATCACTAAGAGCTGATTTATCAAATTTAAAATTACAACAATTCACTTCGGGTACCAAGTGAGTGTAGTTATCGAAATGTCACTTATTTTGACTTCAATTATACCTATATCCGTACTTGAAGTTGGAGCTGTTGGTTCGTAATTTGAATTGGTGTATTATTCGATGTATTACTAAGAAAATTAGAATAGAAAAATTGATTTTTACTTTTGACGAATGACCAAAAGGCTCGCGGATTTTGTCTTATGGAGTTCTCTGTATTTTTCATGTAATCTGTGTACATATTATTTTC